TCTTCTTTGAAAAAACTTAGGCTCTTGCAAACTGCTTTTTTTTTTTTTTTTTTTTTTTTTTTGAATACTGAAAAACTCCCTCCAGTGCTAGTGGTGCTGGTAAAAGCAGACACCGCTAGCACCCGGGGAGAGGCTACATATATTGGTGGGGAGCATCACCTGCTGAAAAATGGGTCCTCCTGTCCTTCTTCATCAAGCATGAAAGGTTGTGGTGGCGGATGATCAGGGAGCTCCCACTGTGGGCTACATGGAAAGAAGGGTGCAGCACCACCTTGGACAACTTCAGGAATTCAAGGGAAAAGGTATGGGCATTGGGCACTAGGAATCAACTCCCTCGAGGGCCTATTAATTCTCTCATAAACAGCAGGGATCGGACACCCTGGCTGTGTTTACCTCGTTCCCAATCACTCCAACTCAAGGCCTTGCATCCATTTTGAGCAATGGGGTGGAAAGAACAGTTCTAATTTCTAAACCGATTCGTGCTCAGGAAAGTAAGAGAGCTGGGGTGATGGGCAAAAACGATCTTCAGAATGGATGCGGCAATTCAGCACTTGGAATTCGACCCAGAAGAATGGGCCCTGGACACCAGGCAGAAGCAAAATTTTCAGAACAAACGTACTCATCCAAGAATGCACAGGTAAACTGGGTTACAACCTCCTCCTCAAAACTAAGCATCCAGATCCCACAATTAAAAATAGATGGCTGAAGTTAATCAGCTAGGAAGCCACTCAGATCTCACAAAGTCTCTGAGGATCCCAAACAGCTCGGCGGTCGCTGGCTAGGGCGAGCGGACATACTTTTTTGTGGTTTCCTGCTGATCGAACATTGCTTATACAATTTTCACTGGTTCGGAGCAAGCACTGAAAAACCGAGTACAAATAAGCGTGTAATTGTTCCAGCTACTGTGGGAAAAAAATTAATCAATCCGGCTGGTCGAAGTCAGAAGCCTCCAATGGCTTATCGCATATGCAGCACTACCTGTCAACCAATGGTTGCACATCAGAAGAAGCAAGAAAGACACGGACAGTTCAGACTTATGTGTGGTATGTTTTTTGTACGTTGTAGAGAAGCGATGGAACACTGGGCCAGGCCCGCCAGGGCATCGGACCTCTGGGGTTCCCCTTTCCCGACGCCCCCTCCCTGAACACCCCATCCAACTCCTCCTATGGACTAATATCCCTTCTCAGTGGTCACTTCAACAAGTCCGAGAAGATCTGGTTTGGAATGATCAGAAATGTAACACTCTGGCCTTTATGGAAAGAAAGGTGCAGCAGAACAATTGATGGTCTTTCAACTCCGAGGGAGACGGTTCGGGCGACGAGGACAAGGACATTGATCCAGGCAGAGATTCTGTGCAAGTGGCAGACGACAAGACACACCATGATGGATGACATGGAACAGCAGCAGAGAATCAAGGAAAATTTCACAGAGGACTGGCTGGTAGGTGGCAAGGTAGCAGACATAAAGGATTCCCTCGTACGATGGAAACACTGGCACAATTCAGAAGTGGGCTTGAGAAGACACAGATTCCAGCAAGCTCCACTACGGGCTACGTGAATACCATGGCAAAAGGCGTTGAATCTGCAAGTTTGGAGATTGTGGTTTCCTCATCATCTATCCCCTTCTTGTTTCTCGCGGTATATATGACAGGTTCTGACAACTGGACCTGAGAGGAAAGGTAGATATGTATGGCAAGCTGACAGTCGATCCTCCACACTGCCGCAGCAATCAATGCTGTTCAGGGTTCCTTCGGCCAGACGGAAGGAAGCGTGAGGGTGTTCATGTTGTAATTTTTACTTGCCAGTGGAATAGGAACCGGACTGACGCTCCCCAGAATGGATATGGAGCGGGCACAAGGACTTCATGGAAGCTGAAGTCCGATGCAAGTGTCGGCAAATGAAATTACTTATTCAGACCATGGGCCATGATGAACTGAGAATCCCAACAAATTTTATACATATGTGGTTCGTCCATGGGAAGCAAATGTCTTTTAATGGTCAACACCCCAAGAGGGAGGACTGCAGGGGAGGCACCTATAGGCCATGGAGGACTCAGCAACAAGCGACACCATCTGGGGAGGGTTCATTCCTCAAAATGAGGATATGACCTCCGGTTGCAATCAGCTCAGCCTTAGAATTGCTCAATTTCTGTTCCAACCACAAATACCACTAAGGAAATTGGGGAGGGTTCATTCCTCAAACACCACAAACACCTCTGAGCACCTATAGGCCATGGAGGACTCAGAACAAGAGACACCATCTGGGGAGGGTGCATTCCTCAAAATGAGGATATGACCTCCAGCTGCAATCAGCTCAGCCTTAGAACTGCTCAATTTCTGTTCCAACCACAAACACCACTAAGCAAATCGGGGAGGGTGCATTCCGCAAACACCACAAACACCACAAACACCACAAACACCACAAACACCACAAACACCTCTAAGCACCTATAGGCCATGGAAGACTCAGCAACAAGAGACACCATCTGGGGAGGGTTCATTCCTCAAAATGAGGATATGAGCTCCAGTTAGAATCAGATCAGCCTTAGAATTGCTCAATTTCTGTTCCAACCACAAACACCACTAAGCGAGCTGGGGTTGGAAGGCAGACAGGACAGAAAGAGGATGGGCACTCACACTGTTATCAGACTACATTGTTATGACCCTGGCCAATTTCGAGATACACATCCACCGGAAAGTACAATGCCATCCAATTGCAGAAAGAAATGAATGAACTTGAGAGGAGAGAGAGAGGATTAGAAGAAGAAGAAGAAGTAAGAAAGAAGAAGAAGAAGATGTACACCAGCAAAGACAATGACAAGGCTCTTCTTCTTCGCTCAACAATCTCCTCCTTCTTATCTCCCCCTTCTATTATTCATACAAGAAATAATAGTACAATGTTGAATGACTGATCCAGAATCAATGTCCGAGTCCCTCTTCTACTGCAGGTATCACTTAAGGTCCACCATAGCCATGGCCGCCTCTCCCACTCTTCACTCTCATAGGCCGAGGCTATGGCGGACTACAGGGCTCTGCTCAGATGCCCAAAGGACAACCCAAAGCAGCTATGGCTGCTCTAGCTCAGGCCGCCATGCCTGACCCTGCCCCGAAGCTTCTTGGTGTAGCTCTCCCCAGCTGGGGACTCCCTGCTGCAGCGCCCACCAAGGTGATGAAGATGGCTGCCACCATAGCCAGGTAAGTACCCCTGGCGCTCCTCCCCCTTCCTTCCTTCTTCCTCCTTCTTCCTCCCTCGTGTCCTTCTCCTTCCTCCCCAGCAGCGCTGCTCCAGCTTAGTGCTGCTCCAGCCAGCGCTCCACCAGTGTGTCGCCAAACTTGCACACCGAAAGA